TAAATGATTAGTAACTGTTGTGATATTGCATATGTAATTACTTAATCAGTTTAGATGACAGAACAGAATATATATTGTATTGTTGTGAACTTTAAAAAGAAGTTTCTCTAAAGCGCCTATCTATATAAGATCAATCACGTGTTAGATCATGCAATAAATAACATTTAGCAATGGTACCTAAATTTTTCAGAAGCTATTGCTAGAACATTACTGCTATAAATTCTATATGTGACAAACAATGTTTTCACAGATACGAAAAATAGCGATACATTCTTGTTGCAATATCTAGAAATCTAGCTACATCAGCGAAATATTTTTTTGAGTGTAATTAACTCTCTACAAAATTCAAGAAGGGCTACTCACCTCTGAGAGCTTTCATGTGCGCCACCGCCATCCTCAAGATCGTAAGCTTGTCGGGTTTCCGGGCCAGGGCTGAACAGGTCGGCACCATGTCGGAGAGCTCGGTGATGTAGGCGGTCATCTTGTTCCGCCGCCGCCGCTCTATCTCGCAATGATTCTCTCTACTGTAAGTCGCAAGACAAAACCAAGGTAATTGCATAGTTCGAGGAACCGGTGTGCGGTTTCTCCAACCCGCGGCTAAAAACAGCGCGAACAACGAAGCCAACGCGGAACCCAGCACGAGTGAGACAAGAGTTTCTTGCGCGGTCTACGCGAGAGACTGCTAGAGTCGCGGGAAGTAATGTTCGCAATACGGTATTCCATTTACCGTAGTTATAAGTCGCGCTTCTTACGTTTGTGCAATCGCCGACCTCTCTCGTCACGTAAGATAAATCTGCAATTAATCACCACATTTTAGTTAAATAATTGTCAGTAGATGAATTTCACGCGAAGGAATGAATCGTGATATTTCATTAGCAATTACGCTGAGCTTTCGAATCAGTTCGCTAGCGTGCCTCAATTAGAACTTCGCATAAAGTGCGCTCCAACTAAAATTAACTCGGTTACGGACATCGTCGTAGCGCCATGATTGATTCGGCCGATAAATTCTCGAGTAGTCCATCTAGCTGAGGGAGGATATCGGGGCGAGACCACAATTTGAGGCCTCCCCTGTTATTACGCTACCAGAGGGTAACCGCCGCGGGTAACGGCCAGGCACGTCTCCCTTTACTTCGACGGCGAGCTGCGTAATCGTCAGCGCGCAAATCGTAAATTTAATGGCATTTAATTCGCGACAATTTTCCAGGAAACTTTGCGAAGGCAGGCACCCGCACGCGGATCCGCACGCAACATATAAGCCGGATCCCCTCCCCTCGATGCGCAAATCAAGCGGCGGTTAATTTCTTATGGACGCTATGCATCCGAGAATGCAGCGAAGCCGCTCATTTCGCCAAGTCAAGTTCGTGAGCCGAACCGCCTCCGCGATCTAGTTCATAATCGGTTACCTTATGTCTTATTCCGTAATGCGATCCAATGTGTCTAATTAATAATACAAAATAAGTATTTGCAGAAGCAAGAATGGATTTTATATTTCACTTTGTATTCTCCTCTATTTTTCTCTCTCAAATTTCTCGAAGAAAAGAAATTGTGAATTGCTTTTAGTCGTTTTTCTTATAACCATTATATTTATTTGGTACAATCATTGTGAGTTTTTTTTTTTATAAAATTACTGTCTCGACTCTGGCTAGTTCTTTATTGAGTTGAGATTTAATCGCTGTCTATTTCCCGAACGAATTTCTCCGTTTTGAAATGGATAAGGAAAGAGATCGGTTCACAAAATAATGAAAAATTTGTTGAGTCCGTGAAATGGGTAGTTTCACGCCCAGACTGTAACATCGATATCCTACCCGGATATACAGGGTGCGAGATTAAAATTGGATATCGATATGCTGATTGGTTTGCTAACGTTTTTTTTTTCAGTGTCTACTCGCTGCGACTGGATGGCCGCGATATGAAATATTGAAAAATAAAATTGATCCATTCGATGTGACTGTCGTCTGTGTGGCCGCAATGTACAGGAAACGTGTCGCTGTATCGCGCCTGAATATATCCGAAAGTTAATTCCCAATCTAATGCATTATAATTAGAAGCAAATACCGAATTGTGCAATTTGAAAGTGCGCACTCGTGCTTTCCGATTCATTTGAAGCAGCTAGATATAATTGAAATCGATGTTCTCGTTATTAAAGCAATAATAGAGACATTAGATTGTTGTAAACTTCGAAGGAAAGAGAGTTTCGCAGAGAAACATTGTTTCATTATGACGTAACGATCTGAAACTTCTGGAGCGCGATAACGAGTCAAAGAAAAAAATGCAATTGTCATGACGCAAGTCAATGCCGATCGCCTTTCGTATCCCCCTCATTATACGATTCGGCGCGATTTTTTTCGTTGAACTGCGCGCGCGGGCGGTCGTTATCATTATTATTATCTCGTCCCGCGGACCAAGGGGGATCTGTAACGCTCGACGACGTCGTGGATGGCCCCGGCTCCGGCAGAGGCCCGCTATTTAAAAGAGGCCACGGCGCTTAAAGCGCAAGTATAAAGCGGAGTATGCACTGCGCGGCATTGCAAGAGCAAGAGAGGAAAAGAGAAGAGAGAAGAGAAGGGTGAAGGGATGGAGGAACGCGATCCGTGGAGAGGAGGACGGAGAGAGAACTCCTGGGTCAGAGGTCAGACGCTCCGAAGTTGCCCGCTCGCTCCGTGGGTCCAGCTCCGTGTATCGGAGTATACCGGGTGTCCCGGCACTCCCGCACACTTCTACGATCCGCTTCTCCGACCCGGAAGTGGCGATATGTCAACACTTTTGCTACGTTTTGTTACATGTTATTTTTATCTCGCGCATGATTGCCTTATAGAATTTTTTTATGTATATAATAACTTCTTTTGATTAAAAATTGCATCCTTCGTTAGAACTCTGTTTTTCACACGTGTTCATAAAAAACCACGGAATTTATGTTTAATAAAAAATTTAAATTTTCAGAAACTATTAATGTAACTGCATCTATTTGATAAGTTTGCTAAACGTTATATTTTAGCTACATACGTAATTTTCTAATAAAATTACTTGTACGTAGAGTTGTAAAAAAAATTTATTCAACACAGAGTTGACTAAAATGTTATAAACTATATTGTTTTCTGTTTTTAGGTATAGAAAACGGCGATACGGAAGTACTATAGTGGTTTTTAATCGGCAACATTGATTATTTGCACCGACGTTGATCCACAATGAACCAAGACACCACGTTTACCACGCTATTTGATACACAGGGGTCGTCGGATGCTGTAGTGGACGACACCGTAAAAGTGCCTGACCTCTAGGCCGGAGTTCAACGCTGACCCCGTGACACCGGTCACGTTACTTGAAAAAGAGAATACTAGTTGAAGGCTGAGGTAATAGATCCCTTTATTCGCCGTGACTCCGTTTTAAGCGTAAAATACGATGCGTGCACGTCTCGCGCGAGAAACTTAAAACTGTAAGATAAGACGGAATCTAACGTTGTGACGTCTCGCACGATTTATTTGCCATCCGCGTTAATTAATCAACAGTAAAAGGCGATAGCAATAAGAAAATTATCGAAACATACTGGTGATTTATAGAGTGATAAACGCGAACATAATTCTGTGAAATGTTTGCTAATTAATAGCGCAAGTAAAAAATAGATATCCAATATTTAATATTATCACAGAGAAAAATACCTTATTTTGAAAATCATATAATTAAGTTGTTGATTTCTTAGAGCGTTGAATTCCTAGTTGTTTTAATTTTCAGATTTTCCAACTCTTTCAATACAGTCTAAAATTTTCGTATAATTATCAATCTTAAAATGTCAACGAATTCATGGTTTTGTAAAAACAACTTTTTTTCAATTATCAGAGAACAAATCAAGATCATCGAGTAGTGCCTGAACACCCTGTACACGGCTTTCTGTATCGCAGTGATCTAGTATTAGTTCAGAAATACACACAGCGAGGTCCCATGAGAGAGAAAAAGTATTCCAATGTACGAAGAGAAGGCGATCGCGAAGAGAGCGAGTTATCATCGAATCGCTCCGCATTTAGGGATGCTTACGATGTTGCGAGAGATAGTTTGCTCTCGATACTCTCCGATGCTTTCGACATCGTCGAACATCCCCGATATGCTTCACCTTCGGCCTTAGCGAGATATCGAATCGTCGTTATACAACGCTTTATAGTGTAATTCATTATGTAATTTATCACATTTGTTTGCGGGATATTCTAGAGACACTCCCTTGCCGCATATTCGATATTTCCGACGGCTTATACGCATGAATTTATGGATTTGCAAAACAAAGTTGTACACAGATCGCCGTTATTCAATCGTACAATTTATCGTTACAATTCGCTATCTCGCGAATGCACGCGGCCGCATCGATGTGCATGAAATTAAGGATTGGCGAGTAAATAACACATTCGCTACGCCCTTGTATGAAAGCGATAGAGGAATGTGAGTATAATAAATGGATGTAAGTTATCCGTGTGTGTTCGTACTGTCTTGATTACTGAAACGGACGAAGAGGCGAATAGCAAATTGGATGACTTGTCTACGACGTCTTTCTGCGAAGCTGGTATTTCATTTTTCAAAATCGAAAGTTTTACTGATATCTCGTATTTTGTGGATGTCATTTTTTCAGTCAGATCAATGAAACTCTTTTTGCGAACCAAAAATTGTACAAATGCAAGTAAAATTGTTGATAAAACTATTATCCTTTTTAAATAAGATACCAGCTTCACGGAGACTTTACGACCTACATTATTTTAAGAGTAAACTTTAATAATAATATAAACTTCCTTATTTCGCATTTCCATCTTATTTGCTATTCTTTTTTCGATTCACATTCGGAAGTTTAATTGGATGTTTTATACAGAATTTTACGCGCGGTCTTATATTTTAAATATATAATACGTGAACTGACTGATTCAATGATGCAATCTGTCCCACATATTATGCAATGCAAAATAAAGCTTAATAAACTTTAATTACTACAGTTATGTTAGCAAAGAGCGAGGGAACGCCCAATAATCCTCATTAGCGTTCTAGTATTAATTTCCCCGTGCGTTCACCGCTCTGCAACTTATTACGCCAGAGAAGGAACCTTTTAATTAATTGGTCTATAAGAGCAATCTGCGCGACGATCTGCGTCATGCGCTCTCTATAGCGAGACACCGCTCGCTTTCCTTATACGGCGTTTAAGGCACGTGCTTTTCACTTCGGCGCAAGATAATCTTTCCCTCCCGCTTAGAGATTCCTTACGATGACTTCTGCGAGTAACAACCCTCCGCAAACTTTTCCCAACTGCGAAGACTCGGCAGTATGATCGTTCGCCACATTTGATTACCGTTTTACGGAAGAAACTTTGGCTTCTCTCTTTCTCGCGAGATTTCTTCGCTAATATATTTGATGATTTTGACGGAGATTACTTCTATAGAAGATTACACGCGTTGTTTAAGCGAAATTAGGATTGATGGATGCACGTTCGGAGGAAATATGGCTATATATTACGCCTTTATATGAAAATATGTAGTTAGCTGCATTGAGTTACAGGCGAAAAAAATAAAAAATTAAATCCATATTTCAATTATTACGTTAAAAATTTCAATACAAATTCACACCGATATTATGTAATATTTTAAAACGGACTTTAATGATTTTCTGACAATAACTCTGTCAATTAGAAGTACAGTGAACGGAAAGTAAATAGGAAATATGGCGAGACGGTCGGAAAAGGTTTGTGACAATATAGTACCGCAATAAATTTGAGCGTGATCGTCATTTATAACGCCTGTGTCCGATGAACGTTACGCTTTTGCGATTACTCGTTCGCGGCAGTAAATACGTTGCGCGGAAATTTATGGCCCGACGCGCTGCCGTTTTACGCGCGCGATTATAACGTCTTCGTTTGGAAATGATTTAAGAGTAACGCTCGACGAATCCAGCGTGTGCGTCGTTAACATTCGTCGATGCGTGCTAGGCGCGAAACGTGAGGAAATTAGGTGAAGAAATCGCTATTACGCGATTTCACAGATTTTTCCGCGATTAGCACACGCCGGTACACACACACTTTTTCCCCTCAATTAACTCTCTAACGTATTATTTAATTTTCGTCTTATTTAGAAAGAAACACGCTAGGAAACGATTCACTCTATAGCAATTTCTATTTTAGAATTGAACTCGTTTTCTCTTCCGTTAAAAAAGGTACATTAAGGAAAAGCACATTTTTTTAAGGTGCGCAGTTTATACCAGATCTTGTTTAATTGATAAAAATTGTATCGCGGAAAAAGTTTCCAAACGGAATTAATGCAACGTATTCGAGAAGCTATGATTGAAGGATTAATTGCGAAAATGAGAATAAAAAGTGCGACGAAGAAGAGAATGAACGAGATGGCTGTTTTCATTCTGAGCAACTTTCGGCGTACGACAATAATATTATTTGGCATTTATCGTGACGCCAAAAGTGCCGGTATTAATGTCGAGAAAATGCGTTTGATACGAAAGACGGTGAAACCCGAGATGGCAGGCGGGAAAGGAAGGAAAACGAGGGAGAGAGCGAGAGAGAAGGGACGGTTGGGCGGCAAGAAGAGCTGCGCGTCTTGCGGCAGAAGGCAGTAATTGCGTTATTAACTTAAAAGTGAGGTTCTCCCGAGAGAGAGAGAAAGAGAGAGAGGGCCGAGAGGGGCGAGAGAAAGGGAGAAAGATAATACGAGAAAGGGAGGAAAGGAGAGAGAAAGAGCGCGCGACATCAGAGTGTTGCCGGTCCGTCTTTGCGGAGTCCGCGTATTTTTTTGCGGCACCGTGTATACCTGCGAAACGACAGTGCGGATACGGAATTGCAGGTGAACCGCCAAGGATCCACCCGTGGCGGCACGCGATGAGAGACCATGGATAAGATATCGTTACTGCTATTACGGCGGATCGACAGTCGGTCTTCAGATTGGCTAACAAAAGTCGCGGGGCATCTTTTTTCACGAGACAATCGATTTGTTTGAAGCGAGAGGCCTTGGATTCAAATGGGATATTCGAGAATAACTAATATTTTATCGGCAAGTTAATATGGATAATATGACAAAAAAAAACGGAGTGTCTTTTTTAACGAAACAACCTTTGCAACCGTGTAGAATTGTATCTTGAGTGTGCATTTTTTAATTACGTAATGTCGTAATTAATCATGCGATAAACACACAATGCAAATATAGTATAGAATAAATCAGCGCGGGCTATGAGATTTCCTTCTCGCGTGCGCGAAGTTAAAGAGGTGTGAGAAATTCCTGGTAAATCCTCCGCTATGGACAAACAGCCAGATCGGGCAACGTGAGGAACGCGCGCGAGCAATTCCGTACTATTTTGCAGATATATGTATAAGCTAGAAGCGCGCGGCCTGCAAAAATCGTCGCAGGGAGATGTGTGCATTCTAATCTCGTTCCGTGAAACAAAAGATGATTGCATCCCACTTGCAGAAAGACAAAAAGAGGGATGTAATTTTATTGCATCTTGGCACGAAGTAGCTTCAAGTAGCGCACGATGAAGAAAATATACGTGCGCATTGGAGAATATAAATGCGAAATTTACATGGCGTGTTAAAGATCGACGAGCCGCATTTCTAGATAATATTTCTGTATTACCTTGCATTTTTTCACAAGCGAGAGAAATGATTTAATTGTGATTTTCAAATATGAAGAACACGGCCGAATTAAGAATAATTTTATTTCTTTCTATCTCGCCACATCATTATTTTTCTCACTGCTCAACTCTAATTAAGTGTATTTGCGAATAACAGAACAATGCGCGAGAATTTGTACGATCAATGCAAATGCTACGTTTGGCACGGCTATAATTGCACGAAATCGCGATAATGCTTGTCTTTCGTACGTTCTATGATCAGTTTTACACCATGATTATACCAGGTAGGAGAGCACCGTGGGCCTGGCACTTAATAGAGACGTAACGCCATACACAGTCACGTTACACAAAGCAGGGGGCTGAGTCACGACCGATCAATGTTACACGCGGTAGGTTCAACCTCCGAACCCCCTTTTTTTACCTTTCGTCCTACTGATAAGTCAATCAATTGAGATCGATCGGCTATTCACGCGTCGGTGAGATTTATTTTATTTCGTGATGAATAAACTCTGATAAGAAAGAGTAAAACGTGATCTTTGGATATTAACAATCCCAAAAATAATATTAAATATTTTTGAATACATTTTTTACTCTTTGATTTCCAACGTTAAATGATTCTGAGCTTAAAATCATCGTACAACTTTTGCGTGCTGAGAAAAACACGAAAAAAAAAAAAACAATCAACAGTTGATAAAAAAAACACACAACTTTTAATGCATCCTGCATAATTATACGAACGCGACAGTATAAAGATTTCTCGGGAACTTTGACGAGTAGATTTTTATTCGTGACGTCCAGAGAGTATGGCCATATTTTATACGTAAGTTATGCGTCTCACGTTGTACATTATTTTCCGGCTTTTGTCCGGCGAATTTAATGCCCGTGCCAGCCGAAATATCTCGGAAGGGAATCAAAGTGCCGTGTCTCTTTCGTTGTACACGGACTTGAAGGACGCGCGCTCCAACGCGCGTATAAGTACCTTATGTTCCCACGCTGGAGCAGCCTCGAGGGCTTCCCATTCCGCTATCGGCTCCTCACATTGCTCGGTATCATGTAGGTATGTATGTACCTTCTCGTACTTGAGAAGAAGGCGTATGTACAGGGTGTACCGGTGAAACATATTGGGCCGCGGTTTCGTGAGGCGAATTAATAACGACGGAGAAAGACGGCCGAGAGAGAGAGAGAGAGAAAGAAAAGTGTCCACGCCTCGAAGGTAACTTTCGTGAATGTCTGACTATCGTGATCGGGTTTAGTTGGCTTCGAGGTGGAGAAATCGTAAGATGGATTAAAAATACTTAAAGTACGGCGAAAGCGCGTTTTTTGATCCTTAAATATTAAGCTTTAATTTTTAGAAAATTTTAAGTATACTCACTTAAGCCTGATACTCACCTTGCAAACCTTTCCTTGTCCTGCACGTTATCGTCGTCCAGTCTTCTATATTTACAGCCACTCGGATCATCCTCGTCAGATCTGCGAAATAAAGCAGAAATAACAATTAATTAAATCAGTCCGCGCAATCACAAATCTATTCACTGAATATTACAACGTTAAAATCGTTCAATATTTTCATCAATACGTTATTATACAATTAACTATTTTTTATTTATTTATTTGATGTATTATTAGTACTTTAGAGTACAATTTTAAGATTTTTGTTTAACGGTAAATCAACTATTATTTCTCAATTTAATTTATCGATGAAAGAGTTCTAACGTAGCTTCGTAAGATTAATTAATCACAGGTTTTGTGAATTAAGTAAATCGCAAATAAAAAAATATACCAACTCGTTAAGGATAAACGGTTGTGAATAGGCGAGTTCAGCACCCGAAAGGAACAAATAATAGAAATTCCACGTGCGTCGCGTCACCGATACGTAAAGTGTAATCGTTTCCGGACTACCAAACGTGACCGTACGGTCCAAAATTGGTCACCGCAGGATTGCCGCCGGCTTCCCCCCAAATCTGGAGCGCCGTAACAGTAAGTGGCGACAAGAGTTTCTCGTACATGATATTCGCGCCCCTCGCCATCCCATTCATTCCGATAGCGGCCAACTTTTCCGCTCGAACATTATTCGCATATTATAATATTCGACCCAATTTTTCGCAGAGTCAATTGCATTATTCTGTACATCGTGTTATATAAAAAATTATAGATATCTCTGCCCAAGATCCTCAATTATAAGTTTTATGATAAAAATATGACGTCCATTATTTATCGGATTGTATTATTAACTCTAAAAAAAAAAAGCTTAAACGAGGCGTATCTAGATATCGATCGATTGCACTGAATTCACCGTAGTAGTCTAAGCGTTTAGGAGTCGTTATCGGCGAAGGATGGGAGAAAGATGCGAAGAGGATAGCGCCGTAAATCCGTCACCGATCGTCTCATTACCGGCGTAGAAAAGCGTATATATACCATCCTCCGCGGCATTAAGGGCGATAGAAAATTATGCTCTCATTGCGAGAGCATTGGATTCGCGCTCGCGCGCAGAAATCCGACCGATCGTCAGTCTATATTGCACAGCGCTCGCTCGCGCGGGTGATGTACGATTCTGACCCTGAGCGAAAAAGCGAGACCCCCTTACTTACGGAGCACTCCCTCCGCCCCGCCGTTCCTCTTCTTCGTCCTATCCTGCCCGTGCCACCTCTCGTGCCCCTCCGCGAGGTTCGCTCGCCGGTGAACGTCGCGTCGAGGAGACGGCGTACACAGCCTCTCGTCCCCCACCCCCCCCCCTTTTCCGTTCCCTCGCCCCGTGTGAGGCCTGTAGGACCTGACGGACCCGAGGTGGGGGTGGTGTAGGGCCCGGCAACGAGTGTATCCGGGTATCGCGAGCGAGGGGGGTGAACGAGGCCCCCTCCTTTTCTCTTCGTTCTCCTCTCCGTCGTCTTCCTGCGCGGGAACCTTCTCGGCTCCCTTCGTCCCCACGTTCTCCGCGCGTTCCTTTTTTCCTGCTCCTCTTCCTTCTCGCGAGAGAGCGGGAGAGGAGAAGAGAAGAAAGGGCACGGAGAGGAGGGGGGAGGGAGGGGAAGCTACGGAGACTTATGGAGTACATAATGATGCGCCCCGCGGTATTACGTCGACTTAACGGACGCGTATGCGTGCCTCGCAAGCGATGAAGTCGACGACGTCGGGAAGAAGACTTCGCGGCGACGCGAGAAGACTCGAACTACGCTAGAAGTTTTGGGAAAAGAAATAAAATGGTCGAATGCAAACTGAGACCGTAAATGTTCAACATGAGTGAGGAATTCTGACTGTTACACTCAAAATATCAGTCCGTTTGTTCCGTTAATTATATTCATATTTGATAATTTGTGTCTCTTGAATGAAACATGCTTAATCGTTTCATAGAAATATGATGCTCATTTAATTTGATCCTTATTATATATTTTATGAATGATACATGAAGAAAATGGAGACGCAAATTGTGACCTTTGTTCATCCGGGCCGAGGAAAGTGTCCGAGATATGTCGTCGAGATAGACCGACGATAAAGTGAAAATTACGGGCAAAAAGGCAGCCGAAGGCGAGAGAGAGATAAATGTGTGACAGGGAGATGTATGAAGCGCATAATGATGCGCAACGCAGTATTACGTCGACTTAATAGGCGTTTCGCAAATAGAAACCTCGTGCAGTAAGCTTAGTGGCTCTATTCGCTTCAAGATTTATTTATGGCAAACGTGAAGACTAGTCATTTAATACCTAATCTATACACACGATATCGCGGAAAAAATAATTACAATCTAAGAAAATGTGAGAAAAAAAGATTATAATTCGTTGAAACAATTTGCATTATCATGAACACAAGGTTGCATTCTTTATTTAACCTTTACAGACTGTCGTGGCTATTAAATTGTCAGACATTAATTCTATAATATACGAATATTCGACATATATCCTTGTACTGTAGGGTGTAGCGCAGGCATTAATTTATTATAATTAAATGTCATAGTTTCATGGCTACATTAACGTGAGATATTAATAAAAAAAGTTCCCATCCATTTGAAAATTCCAAGATTATTTTCCTGATATTATTTTCATAATATTAACTACACAAATAAGTATTATATATTGCTGATTGTTGATAAGAAAGTTCCATCAATCGTTTTCTCTTATTACAAAAAGTGACACTCAATCAAAAGAATTTTACTAATAATGTCTGCGCTTTTCTCTATTCCTGTAACTGCAAAATTCATCGAAAACATTTCTACAATAAAAATACACAAAGTATTATGCTATACTTGCAAGTACAATAAGAGCACATTTTGGCGCAACAATTTTTTACTTTAAATTAGAATTTAATTTATTTTCAAATAAAATATAATTGTAGAATTATTTTATATTTATATTTACAATAAAACAATTTTATTGAATCAAGATGACGAATAAATACTGAAATCACTATTTTTCATTAATTCTGATTGAATCTTCCTTTCAGTAAATCTTCGGAAGATTTAAAGGTTGCTAAAAAATATGGGTCTACATTCGTCGGGGAATGCGCTCCTGAAATTGGACGCAAATCTGAGACAAGATATGCGATTTCGAGGCCGCTCTGCCATTACGGTAGTTTGACCTCTGACACAGAGCGATTTGGGCAGTCCGGAATTTCGGCGGCGCCGATTGAAGGACCGGACAGGCGCGCTACACTGTTACAGTGAAAGGGTTGCTCTCTCTTTCTCTCTCTTGTTTTGTACTCTCCGTGCGCATTATAAGTAGACTCCGTAACGCGATCAGGGGGGAAGAAGGGGGTCAAGCCAGCCCCCGCTCTATTTCTTCGCGTATGCGCTCTGAAACGCCCGATAATTTGTATACGTCGCGAAAACCGTGGGAACAAAAGCGCCGATACGTAGATACGCGCCGATCATTATCTCCGCTATCGAGATACCGTCGTAAACTGTCATGTCTTTTGGTGCAACCACGTTGCGGGAATAACGAACCGTCGTACGAGACAGCCTGATGCACGGTGCACGATCCGTTTCCGTTTAGGTATAATGGGATAATAATTTCGCCGGGCGGGCGACACGATAGCTAGCGAACTTTCGGGCTGTTCGTCATAATAAAACATAGGTGCCACTAACTTTTCTTGAGTGTGCGTGTGCTGATAATTAGGCACACGCACATTTAATACGAAATTGTACGGCTTTTCGTGTGTGGCTAGATATAATCATCTGACAGTGATAGAGGCAAGATCTGATATTTAATCGTATAAGATAATAGTAACACGCGCATTTATGGAATTTCTGAATAAATAGTGAAGATAAGATAGTTTGAATCAAGATTTATTTATCTACAAAATCATAAGAATTATTACTGATTAATAATACTGTCGTTGTTACTAAAAAAGCAAACTTTCTGCCGATTTTTTTATTGCTAACTTATTAATATTTTGTTAACTAAAAATTTTATTAAAAGTTTTAAATAAAAATTTCTTATTTATTTACAAATATTCCATTATGCGAAAAAGGTTGAACAATTCATTATAATTTTGTATCATCGGATGCATGTGTTTTCGAGTTCTGTCGTTACCGTTGTGGCCCCTTAAGAGAGTTTAGAGTCAGCTAGAAAAAAAGAAAGGTGATATCCCTGTGAAAAAGAGAAAGAAGAGGATCTCGTATGACGCTGTCCAGTTTACGGTGGCACTTTTTTTGCATTTTTCCGCACGGCGCCAGAGTCACGACTTGACCTCCCCGTTTCCCCCTAACCGTCCGCGATCGTCCTCCATTTACATTTATGTTCTTTAAAGTCCACGTGTTACAACTACTCTTCCAGCACGGCGCCAGGACATACAGTCAAGTACTCCTCAAAGATACTCCATAGCAGAGTAGTATTGAATAAAACATATTCAGACATAAAATAATATTCAACTTCAAATAATTTTAAACAAAAATTCAAAACTTTTAAAAAACTGCTCGATCAATTCGCAAACAAATTCATTCGCGTCATTTCTCCCAATTTCAAATAATCATAAACGAATATCAATAAGAACAAAATATACGAAACAAAATTTCGTTTTTCGCCTGATAAATCTGCTAAGTTCCGAATCGAAGGGGAAGGATTTCCGGGCAATTTCAAGAAGCGAAAAAAAAGTAGGGAAAGAAGAAAGGCGAAAATCACGGCGATGCGACAGTGTGATGCGTCCCGATCGATCGCGAGCGTGGAAAATCGTCGCTGCGACCGGCGGCGACGAGGGTCGGCAGGAGCGATCGAGGAGGTGGTGACCAATAAGGTCGCTGGAGAACGGATAAGAGTCGCAGAGTCGAAGAACGATGGACCGCCCCTCGTTGTGGCGGCCGTACGCGAGGCCCGCCAATGGCCACGCTCTTTCCCCTTAATATGCGAGGCCTGGCCGCCGGCATTACCGTTCTCGTAATGAAAAAATTACGTCACCCTGCCGCTCGGATGTCAGATAGCCGATCGGCGCCACGGGACACACCATCGTCGAGCGCTCGTCGGTGTCGTGGCAACCTGAATGCC